TTTTTTTCAGTATTTCCTACCAACCACACAATTCAATATATATACTTTTTTTTTTTTTTTTCCTCTAACCAGCCCTGATACTCCTTGTGTCATCCAGCCAGCAGCTTCTATCAAAGGCAGCCTGATGAATAGCCACAATCCTGAGGAGAACCAGGACAAGCCACAGCCATTAGGGGTCAAAGCAGCCCTAACTCCCTCCCAGCCCCACCAAGGCCAGAGTGGGGAACAGCCTTGCTCCAGGCACCCAGCTAGGCGGAGGAAGCCAGAGCTGGGGCTCAGGACTGCAGAGCCTGGTCCAGTCCTTTCTGCAAAACCAGATAATGAGGAAGAACTCTCTTTTCTTACATGCGCACGCTATTTCCACATCATTTTGTTCAGCACACCACATATAATCTTATTAACTAGAAAGCTGTCTAGTCCAAAAAATACTCTAAAGCAATTTTCTACTGGTAGAGTTAAAGTTAGATAACAAGGGAGGGAGAGAGGAAAAGAAGCTTCATGTAACCAAGTTAATGTATACACATTATCTGTTCCTCTTATAATGCTTTTTGTTTTGTGTCTGGCATTTGAGTTATTTTGTATATGTATCGTATTTATCCTTCTAAAAGGGTTAAGTCTGAGTGTAATCTCTGTATTCATTGTATACAAGGCTGTTTTGGTCCTCTTATGCCGCTCTAACAGAAAATACCACAAATGGGTTGCTTTAATAAACAGGGATTTATTCTCTTACAGTTTAGGAGACTAGACGTCTGAGTTCAAAGTGCCAGGCTCTAGGGGCTGGGTGAAGAAATTTTGGCCTTGGGCTTCAGCTCTGCCTCTTGTTTCTGGCCCATTGAAGCTAGAGGCTTCTCTTAACTCATGCAGCTGCTGGCTGCTGAGGCTGACAGACCAAGTCGACAAGTAAAATGGCACAGTCCCAAGATTATCAAACAACATGGCAGGCCACTACTTCAAGTCCAGAGACAGTTCCAAGATAGGTAGACAATGGCAGGCCACTTACTGATGACTTGGTCAAATGAAGGGTTCAAGCATGCTGAAAAGCTCAAAACCGTTCCCAAAGCTGCGCCTTACGCTGGGAGCCGCTGGGAGCAGACCACATCCCCAAAGCAGCTACTCAGCTGCTCATAGCAGATTCCATCATGGAGTAGATTACCAGTCTCATCATGGGGAATAACTATATCCAGCTGCCCAGCCACTCAAAAGCAAGCCCTGCTGAGTTGACCCATAACCTCAACTACCACAAAGGCCTATCATATAGTAGGCATTCTGTAAATGGGACCAACACAAAAGGACAAATGGCCAACTTCTAGAAAAAGTTTAAACTGATTTCATTTTAATCATATTTGGTCAAAAGTATCCCTAAACCAGATGGTTCTCAACCCTAATTGCAGAGTAGAATCATACAGGAAGTTTTAAAGATTTCAAGGCTCAGCCTATACCTCAGGCCAATAAAATTTGGATCTCTGGGGGTGGGGTCCAGGCATCAGTTCCCAGTGGATTCTAATGTGTAGCCAAAGCTGAGACCCACTGCTCAAAATTGAAAATTGTTAGATCTCTCAAAACCTTAATAAAAATGAACTCCATTTAGCTTTGTGTTTTACTGACCATTGTTAGATGCCACTGAGTCAGTGCTGACTCATAGTGACCCTGAGTGAAATAGAACAAAATACTGCCTGGTCCTGTGCCGTCCCCACTATCATTGCTGTGTTTAAGCCCATTGTTGCACCCACTATTTTATCCACCTCGTTAAGGGTCTTCCTCTTTTTTGCTGACCCTTTTTTTTTCCCACCAAGCATAATATCCTTCTCCAGGGACTTGTTCCTCCTGTTAACATGTCTAAAGTATATGAGACAAAGTCTAAGGACCATTCTAGCTGTACTTCTAAGACAGATTTGTTCATTCTTCTGGCAGTCCATGTATATTCAGTATTTCCTACCAACCCCACAATTCAAATGCATCAATTCTTCCTCAGTCTTCCTTATTAACTGTCCAGCTTTTGCAAGCATATGAGGCAATTGAAAACATCATGGCTTGGGTTTGGCACACCTTAGTCCTCAATGTGGCATCCTTGCTTTTAACACTTTAAAGGGGGATTTTGCAGAAGATTTGCCCAATGCAATACGTCATTTGATTTCTTGACTGCTATTTCCATGGGTGTTGGTTGTTGACCCAAGTGAAATGAAATCATTGACAACATCACTATTTTCTCCATTTGTGATGGTGTTGCTTATTGGCCCAGTTGTGAGGATTTTTGTTTTATGTTGAGGTGTAATCCATACTGAAGGCTGTAATCTTTGATCTTCATCAGCAAGTGCTTCAACTCCTCTTCACTTTCAGGAAGTAATATTGTGTCATCTGCGTATCGCAGGTTGTTAATGAGTCTTCCTCCAATCCTGATGCCCTGCTCCTCTTCATATAGTCCAGCTTCTCAAATTACTTGCTCAGCATACAGATTAAGTAAGTATGGTGAAGTAATACAACCCTGACACATGTTTTTCATGATTTTAAACCACGCAGTATCCCTTTGTTCTGTTTGAATGACTGCCTCTTGCTCTATGTACAGGTTCTTCATGAGGGCAACTAAGTGTTCTGCAATTCTGATTCTTCATGATGTTATCTATAATTTGTTATGATCCACATAGTCAAGTGCTTTGCATAGTCAATAAAGCACAAATAAACATCCTTCTGGTATTCTCTGCTTTCAGCCAAAATTCATTTGACATCAGCAATGATGTGCCTCATTCCACATATTGAATTTTTGGCAGTTCCCTGTAGATGTCCTACTGTAACCATTTTTGAGTTATCATCAACAAAATTTTATTTTGTGGTAATTTCCACCTCCTTTTGAATCACCTTTCTTTGGAATGACCACAAATATGGATCTCTCCTAGTCAGTTGGCCAAGTAGTTGTCTTCCAAATTTTTTGGCATAGATGAGTGAACGCTTCCAGTGCTGCATCCATTTGTTGAAACATCTCAATTGGTACTCCATCAATTCCTAGAGCTTTGTTTTTCACCAATGCTTTCAGTGCAGCTTGGACTTGTACCTTCAATATCATCCATTCTTGATCATATGCTACCTCCTAAAATGGTTGAACATCAACCAATTCTTTTTGGTGCATTGATTCTGTGTATTCCTTCCATCTTCTTTTGATGCTTCCTGCATCGTTCAATATTTTGCCCATTGGATCCTTCGATACTGCAATTCAAGGTTTTAATTTTTTATTCAATTCTTTAAGCTTGAGAAATGCTGAGTATGTTCTTCCTTTTGGTTTTCTAACTTCGCATTTCATTATAATACCTTATTTTGTCTTCTGTCGGCTACATCAATGATTTTCAACTTTGACTACAGATTATAATCATGTGGGGAATTTTAAAACATATTGATGCTTGAGTTCCACCCTCAGAGATTTCAATTTTGTTGATTTGGAGGGAGATTTCAACACTGAATGTTTTAAAATCTCCTGAGGTGATTCCTTTGAACAGCAAAGTTTGAGAACCACTGGACTTAATCAGCTGCCTTTGGCAGAGCCCCAAGAGCTGCCCAGAGCTCTTGTTGGTGCTGATGATTATAGTGTAAAATGTTAGAGGGCTGCAAATCAGACAACAGGTGAAGGGTTGGTTGAACCAGATGCTCTCTTAGGGCCTTTCTGTGATTGAGGCCACTAGCCCAACAACCAGCAGTGTTTGCCATGAGAAGATGGTACAGCAGCTGCAACTGTGTTTGCCAGAATTCTTTGAGTTCCTGCTGTGAGCAGGCTCTGTGCCCAGTGATTTGCACGCATTACCTCCGTCAACCCTCACACAGTCCTTATAAGGTAAACACAGTTCTTAAACCCTACAGAATAGTGCCTGGCACCTACTAAACCCACAAAAATGTTAGCTCTAGTAATAACTATCACTACCTCAGTGTCTCCTAAAAACAAAACAGTTGTCATGGAGTCGATTCCAGTTCATGATACCCCATGTGTGTCAGAGTAGAACTGTGCTCCATAGAGTTTTCAAAGACTGATTTTTCAGGAATATATCATCTCTTTCTTCCAAGATGTCTGTAGGTAGACTTGAATCTCCAACCTCTTGGTTAGCAACCAAGCATGTTAAGATTTACAGAACCCAGGTATCCCCTCCCCCCCAAAACTAGCCCACACGTAAACTCAAGTTTTGAGAAAGTTGTGGTAGAAGGGTCTGTGAGGATCCCTGCCCTTATATCCCAGACAGAAGCAGGAAGTTTTAGGGCAGAGAAAAGGAAAGGTGAAAAGACAGGTGGGACACTGCTTATGACCTGCTTCTTGTCAAAGTGTTCTGGTGGCACAGTGGTTAAGCATTCAACTGCTAAGCTAAAAGTTGGCATTTCAAACCCACCAGCTGCTCCACAGGGGAAAGATATAGCATAGCAATCT